TATATATATAAACATTTAACAACCGGCGTAATTAATTTTGTTCCTTTAACTGGTTCTGTATCTCCTGTGACTTTGTGTCTTTGATAAGCTGCCAAATCCTCAGCACTACAGCTAGCGGACTCAAAGAAACAACATATGTTTGTGACATGTCTCAATGTGTCACACAGGCTACAGTCCATCTTTCAACCCCTCCTCCTCCGAGCAGTCCAGCATCTCCATCCCAGCCGAGGGACCTGATTCTGGGCCAGAGGAGCATCGCGCATCCCCCGTTCTAAAGGTGAGGATAGAAAAATTAACCCATTTAACTGTATCTGTGTGAATGTAACTCAGACTGGTTATTAAGCTGGGTGGTTACCATAAACTTAATCATTTAACTGAACTTACAGATTCAGGAAAAGCAACAAAACAAGGACTAATGTGATATTTGCTATACAGGTGGGTCCTTTAGATAAAGAGCTGTGGGAAGCAGAGCAGGAAGAAGATGTCCTTTCTAGCGGATATGGAGGCCTTCGCTCCTCCATCACTACCACTACTAGCACATCAAGTGCTGCTGCAGATGCTGTAGGAACAGCCTCCCCAGAGACCGACACTGGCACAGACTTTGGGCTGCTGGGAAGTTATACAAAAGGTACACTAAAGCAGTTTCCTTGTTTTATGTTGTTCCCTGTTCCCCTGTGAGATATCAATGTTTGTTTTTGTAATGTTCTTTCATTTATGTACCCTTGTGCTTTGTATTTGCTGTTTACGTGGGATAAAATGTTTGTGCTACATCGGACATTTCGGGAAATCCAGTTATCGCCTGAAATTTTTGGATAGTGACGCTGTTTTTTATTCTTTTGTCTCTGTATGTTTATTGAGGCGTAACATTAATTAATAACAGATACAGATTTTCTGTATCTGTTCATGGTCCCGCCCACAGACCATCACATTACCAAAACCATATTTGCTGCTGATATGATGTTCACTGTTAGTTTTAAACCACATGTAACGGGACTCAAAGCTTTTTTCTTGTCAGTCCACAGAATATTTTCTCTTGGGTATTATCAGTATGTTTTGGGGTAAATGTGATGCGGTCAGCAGTGTTTTTTTCACCTTGGAACTGTCCCATGGATGCCATTTTTGCCCAGTCTCCTTCTTATTGTGAATCATGAACTTTGAGGCAGGTGAGGCCTGTGGTTCTTTAGATGTTGCTTTGGGTTCTTTTGAAGATAAGTCGTTGATGCACTATTGGAGTAATATTTGTAGGCCAGTCAATCCTGGGAAGCTTTCTCTGTTTTTCCAGTGGTTCAGTGGAGTCCCCAAGAATTACAAATACGTTTTAAACCCTTTCCTGAGATATACAGTCCTGATCAAAATTTTAAGACCACTTGGAAAATGGCAAAAAATCATACTTTGCATTGTTAAGTCTTAACAAGGTTTCAGGTAGAGCTTCAACATGCAACAAGAAGAAATGGGAGTGAGCCAAAACATTTTTTGAGCATGAAATTCATTGAAAACAACGCTTAAACTGAAATGGGCTGTTTTACAGCTGATTTAGGACCACACCTCCAAAAAAAAAAACAACCCAAAACAGAAATCAAAGTTTAAGCCTTGTTTTCAATAAATTGCATGCTCAAAAAATGCTTTGTCTCACTCCCATTTCTTCTTGTTGCATGTTGAAGGTCAACTTGGAACCTTTTTAAAATCCAACCATGCAAAATATGATTTTTTTTTTGCCAATTTAATTCATTTTTCCTTTTTAAAGTTGGCAATTAAATGTGTGAATGACCTTGTGCAGCATTCAGTCAGTCATTCAGCAGAAAAGGTGTAAGCACAAGATAAGCTGTTAGCGGAGATTGTAAACTACCAATAGTTAGAAAACTGCCACAAGAAATAAAAACAAAAAAGATTTAATTTAAGGGATGATATTATTATTGTTATTAGCGATGTTTTCTGTCTGATCTTATATTTGTATTGAAACATTGTGTCTTAAAAGCCTAACCAGTTGACAGTTAACTTTGGTTAGAAGGGGTATAGACACTGCATGGTTACATTTTGTTTAAATGCATCAATGTTTGATAAACTGTCAAATCTTCTGTTTTATAAAAATATAAAATGCATACAAACTATAATCTTCTCAGGTCAGATGTTTGTGTGGACTAAATAAGAAGTATTCTGATCAACAGATGTTATTGCTTTAAGATGGAGCCAGGACAGATGTTTAGCCTTATGTTGAAGTGAGGTAACCATCTGCTGACTGGCATTAAAATGATATCAATTCTCTTAAGGCTAAGTAGATACACGTATTTCACAAAATCAAACTATTCCTTGTATCCAGCACTCAGCAGCTTTGCTCTGGTGTCATTTAATTTAGGATGTCTCTCATTTTTATTTGTTGTTCACTGTAATGACTAAAAGATGCAGCTTGTTCTAGAAGATTTGGTGAATTTGGCAGCAACATAAACCCAAATTGCACATTTAGATGATTGAAAAGGTGTTAAAATGCTTGAATGTAAACCACGGAGAAGCTTCTGTGTTTTTATCTCTGCTGCCCTGGTTTTGTTTCTGCAGGTGAGACAGAGGATGAAGAGGCTGAGAGAGAGGAAGAGGAAGAGGAGGAGATAGGCCTTGTACACATAGGTGTATTTACCCACAATCCCACTGTACCTGAGGTTGGCTTGGCTCCCAGCAGAGAGCCTCTGCAGCCTAGTGTGGAGAAAGGTGAGTGTCCAGTAATAATCAGTATAAAGCTTCTCTAAGCCCCTCCCCTTAGAAGGATTTGTTCAGTGATAGCACAGCAGGTCTGTCAGTTCTTCAGTGTTATGATCATAGCAAGCCTGACTAAAGCAGACAAATTGCCTCCTCTGTACTCAAGAATTTAGACCAAAAGACAGAAGTGACGAGGGGAAGGAGGAAAGATGGAAAAAGATGGAGCGTGAAGAAACAAGAATCAGACACATCATCCCACTCACTACTGATTCTTCCCCCACTATTGGGTTCACCGACCCATCCTGGAATTGGCTGGAAAAGACCACGCCTCTGGAGTCTCACAGGTCAGAGGTCAGGGGTGGTGGGGTCGCAGAGGTCCTACTACCAGACAGCGATCTCAAAGGAGTAGAGGTGACACACCAGGTAAACTTGCAGACAGTGGGAACAAACGACAAATATAAGTTATTTTTTCCGATCATAAAATTCTGGGATTTATAACGCTATTTCACTTTAAATCCAACTCTTTCAGGTAGTTTGTGTTGACTGGAGTGAGCTGACTGGACGAGGCTATGTCGTCCTCAACATGACACAAAACATCAACTGCGTGAGTACACCCAGTGTTGCCAACTTAGCGACTTTGTCGCTATATTTAGCGAGTTTTCAGACCCCCTAGCGACTTTTTTCCAAGAAAAGTCGCTAAAAAAAGACGTGAAAGCGCATATCGCTTTTACTCTCAACAAGCAGCGGGTGCTGTAACGCAGTCAGTTCTTCTTTTACTCTTATGCTGTTTTGTGGATCAGGTTTAAAACTACTTATAAACACACACACACACAAAGTAACTCCACCAGAGTGCCTATTTCGGGTCACTTTTGCCGGTCCAAGCCCGGATTGAGGAGCAGGGTTGGAATTGTGACATTAAAAAAAACAATAATTGCTAAAAGAAATTTAATTCGTAGTTCTAAATAAATTCTAAATGCATTTAGGATGTTTTTTGCTCACTTTATGTCTCGTCCACGATGTTATTTCTCTCTCCAGCAGCGTAGGTTACAATTACATTAGCATGACCAATTATGCAAATTAGGTGATGACGTCATTTAGCGACTTCTAGCGACTTCTAGGACAACCAATAGCAATTTTCCTTACTGAGGAGTTGGCAACACTGAGTACACCTCGACCTGACTTATGCATTAGTAGGAAATCATTTGATATGAGGTTTATGGTTATGGTTTCAGGGAAAGAAGTTTGGATGATGCCATGATCGCCTTTTGGAATCAGAAGTAACCAAATTTGGATGAAAGAGGATTGGGCTAATAAAACCCTAGAATTTTAATTGCAAAATGTGGAGCACAGACTCTTTGGACCATCTGGATCTCACAGAAGACTTTACTGTTTATTTCAAAATTCCATTTAAAATGCTTTACAAAACACCAACACCACAAAATGATTGACAGATGCAGTTTTGTGACTCAGTTCTCTTTTTGGAGCCAGCCTCATGTGGCCATTAGAGGAACTGCACCTGAAGCGGTTCCTCTAATGCCCCTTTGTTCAGTCAGGGGTCATTTTTAGGGGTTAACTGCCACGTCAGTGATGTTTATCAATCTGTTACAGTTTCTGAAAAACTACAGACACCGAAACATCCCTACAGTGGTTGGAACTGATCTGCAGTTATGCAATTGTATGAAGCTGAAATTAAAGTTTAGCTCGCTAAATTCACTTCATTACATGGCGACTTTGTACATCTGTAGTGGTTAGAGATGGATCTGAATCCTGTGCACACGATAAGTATAAACTTTATTTCATGACTGCTACTTAGAAAATGTCTAGTGTCTATTTGTCTATTAGTCTAACGTCTGGTTAGAAAAAGTCACATATAAGTTCACATTTCTAATAGAAATATTTAATATCAGAATATGCACTTGTAATTCTTTCAGTTCTTACTATTATAAGTTCATATAATACCAATTTTTTCAGCAGTCTGATTCTGTTTCAGCTAATTAATTTAAGAAAATTCAGTGCAGTTGATCTTGGAGATAGCTGTGACCAGCTGTGGTTTGGGCACACAGTTTTGCTTTTACACGACAATAAACCACTAAAATCTGCTTGCAAGCAGACCGAGACACTCATTCTCAGGTGGTCTGTTTGGTCTGAACCAGTCCAAACAGGTCAGATATATGAACACAATTTTGAAGCCAATTATTCATCCCAGAACCAGCACACGCAGCTGTGACGTGTCCTTCTTTGAAGAAGGAGCCAGACTTTTCTCTCCCACTGCAGTAGCAAACATCAGGTGAATGAGTGCTGTAGAGCTTTAAAACCCGGACTGCTGGGGGCTGCTTGTATTTGTGTGTGTCGGTGAACGAACATCTGTGTCCATGGCACCAACACACCCTCACCACCACTGCAGTACTTGTAGAAACAGGGATGGAGTCAAAGCTGAGCTACTGTAGTTTAACTCCTTTTATCCTGTTCCCTCACCTTTGTGTGTGTGTGTATGTCCGCGTGTGTGTGTCTGTGTGTTACAGGAGGATTTCCGTTTAGACCAGGGTGTGCGGTTGTTGACGACTATAGAGCGAGTGTTTGCTCGGAGAATGAGTAGCCCTGAGGGAACATGGGTAATCTACCTCAGCAAGCCTACACACCAGCAACACCAGCTGCTGATGAACGTGGCATCTGTGCATGGTACACCCACCTACACACGTACCCACACACACACACACGTACACATGTACCTTAAAATGCAGAGAAAATAGTAAAACACAATAAGTACAAACAAAAATGTTTTTAACTGTTAAACTGGAACACATAGCACACAGCATCAGCATCCCTATTTATAGCCAATAGGGGGAAGAAAGACTTGTTTCCTAGTCAACAAAATACAACATTAAAATTACAAAACAAAATTACAAAAAGTACAAAATCTAATGTAATTATAAAATAAACGTACTCACTGTGCTGTAAAATGTCATGTGTGACAGATATTATGTTAGCTTTAACTGCTTTATGCTGAATGAGGTGCATTAAAAAATTCTGGAGTCAAAAATCAAAAACGTCCCTGACTTCTATTTGGCCTGTTGTCCTTTAGGCTGTGTGTTTGTCACAGCTTCCAGCACTGCTGGATCAGGCCAAGTAAATCCTTTTTTTTGACGATTCGACCATGGGTATCAACTTCATGCTAACGACAACATCAAAATCTCTGTCAAACTGACCTGAACTTCCGGTTGGGGATTATCTGTGATGAATAGAGTTGGATCTCTGGCTACAACTCACAACAAGGGTCATAATTACAAACCTGAACAGGAGCATGCTTGTCATTTTTATATGCTCAAGCAAAAAAGTAGTTAGTCTGAGATATTAAACCCAACAGAGGATCCCTGTTACTGATTTGAGTGCACAAGCATATTAATATTCATCCACATAGCTTGTCCAGACTGCAGTGGCTGCTGGCAGCTGTGTGACAACAATGTGCAGACAGACATGAAACAATAAAAACAATCAGCACAAATAAAAATGTATCAACAGAAGTTATCCCAGTCTTCATACTTTAACTCTGAACCAACAGTGCACCCTGAAATATTCAGTTGTGATCAGGGGTCTCAAGCAGTTTCTTTGTTCTTTGGATAAAAATAGATGGTCTGCTGTCACATTAAGTTAATTTTTAGCCTCCTTCAGGGTGTGTTATCTGAAAGCCTTCACAAATATCAAACAGTTGCAAATGTCAGGCTTCAGTATCAGACAAAGAAACACGATATAAAGAGATCCTTTAAATGAGGCATTTGATTCAGTTCTGACCCAAAGAAGAGTTTAGGAGCTTCTCAGTAACACACATATTCAAGCACACACAGGCATTGTGTTGGCTCGAAGGACTGTGTCTGACAAGATATGTTTTTTATGCAGGAGTGATCCCGACCAAAGACATGCTGGGCATGCTGGCAGAGATCAAGACATGTCTGACTGAGGTACAACATCTAGAAACTTTTTAAATTTGTTGCAGCAGTCTCCAGCAAATCAGATTCAAACATTTCTGCTAAGATACTGAAGAGAACACAGTGAACGTGTGTGAAATGAAATGGAAAAAAATGCACCTCTTTCTGTGACTAATCGTCGGTATGTCACACTTTTGGCCACCCAACACGTCTCTTTGTTACGCGTTCGGAACCGTCAGGAAACATGAGAACCATTTGGAATGAATCTACACATGTACGTGGGTTACCGGTTCTATTGTATTCCATCCACAATCCTGCGTGGTTCATAGGTCCGCCTCGGGACTTGACAAATCATCGGTATGTTATGTGTCGGGAATGAGAACGGCCTGGTATTTCTTACAATATAAGCCCAAACATTCATGGTGACAGATTTCTTTTATTTAATACTATAGCATTTCTTTTCCAAGTGGTAAAACTGAGACATGCACTTCTTTTTCCTATATTAAACCCCTAAAGCCTGAAATCTGAAATAATTCTGCTCCATATATATTTGCTACATCTGGAATTTTGTTTAAATTGCTTAAAAATGTATTGTGCTTTTAGTTAGGTTTTTCAGGGGTAAAAAATCACACTGATCATGTAGAAGTCTCAAGAACTCACAGAAAATTGTATGTGTCAAATATGACACACTAGGCATTAAGGAGTTAAGATATCTCAGGGAGTAAATGTGCAGTTACACTGCTGTTTACTGACAAAAAAGGGGACTTTCACTGGTCCACTTAAGAGCAAGGTGAGCTGTCACAGTGTGAAACGGGTTTGACCTGAGTTTAAACTAATGGTTGATTGTTGTGCATGCGTACCTTTTCAGGTGGGCGTCCAGAACTACAGTGCTGCCAGCAACTGCCCGTCTCGGCCCAGTCACACACGCAGTGACTACGGCAAGCTGTTTGTGGTTCTGGTTATCATCGGCTCCATCTGCATGGTAATCATCACATCTGGATTCATATACATCTGCTGGCAGAGACGGCTCCCTGCAACGAAAACTGCGGTAAGCACAAACACAAACCATCGCCATGCGCTAACTGTGGCCCGTGCTGATGTGCAGCTGTGCTGTCAAGTGTTTAAGACCACAGATTTTTGTCAGTGTTTACAGTATATATATTATATCCTCTATACTTAAGTAACTTAACCTAATGTAATATGGTGTCTTGGAAGTTGAATTAACAAAGTCTGCAGACACGGTCAGCGGTAATCAACACCTTCCTTTTTTCTCATCCACACGAGAGAGAGAAGCGGCTTCAGCAGGACGCTGGTACACAGTCTCTAAAGACGAATAGCACAGCACTTCTTTAAATACAGTTCAGACCAAATTAAAATAAAATGAATACATTTTAAAGGACATTAATTGAAATGTGCTTTCAGAAAGCTGATTTCAGTATATAATCTGATCCATTGGTGATGGTTTTTTATGTAGCGTGCAGGTTGTCCAAATCCAAATATAATATTACTAATAATATGAAAACATTATCATAATTGTATAGGTTTTAACAGTAAAATAACTATGTACTAATTTAAATGTATTAATTTGGTTAGCTGTCATATATTGTGACCAGAATGAAGGAGTTAGATCAAACATAAGATGTTGGGAACATGGATCATGGTTAGGGATGATATTCATCTTAGTTTAGGTTTTGTTAAATCCCTCTAGCCTGTGTTTAGGGCTGAGGTGTATCAGCGTTTCTTTGAGGTGTTCTTACTTTGCCAGACTTTTCATTGGTTTCCTCTCATTCATTTTATTTTTTGCTGCTGAGTTCATGAGAGATGAAGGTATTCATGTCTTTGAGCTGCCAAACTGGATAAATGGACTTATATCACTCTTTATAAATCTTTTGCTCCTTCTTTTCCACACAGTTTCGTGCTGAGGAGCTTCACTTTGTGGTGAACGGTTGCCATGATAACCCAACACTGGATGTGACTAATGATGGCCAACCTGAGATGCAGGAAAAGAAGCCAAGTACCAATGGGCTTGCAGGAGGAGGAGGAGGAGGAGGAGACAGAGGTGGGGAGGACAGCAGTCGTTGGCAGGTGATTGGAAGACTAATTGAGGGATAAAAAAAAGATGAAGAGATGGATGAGTAAATAATGAGTAAATGAGTTACTGCTCAAGCTTCCTTTTTGAGAAAACTAAACTAAACAAAAATGCATTCTGCCTGGCAACAAGCCTGAAGACACTAATCTTTTTTTTTTCTTTTTAGGTATTTGTCAATCAAGCAGCCACAGAGGAGGAGGAAGAAGAGCAGGACACACATCTCTGATTGATGAAGACGATTCTTTTATATACAGCTGATGAGAGGAAGCCCCGAGGAAGGAAGAAGATAATGAAAGAGGATGGGGAGATGGTGGCAGAAGAAAAATAATACAAATGTTTTTGATGGAGAGAACAAAGAAAGAAAGGAGAAATAAGGGAGAGAAAAAGAAGACGCTGATGGGAATAAAGTGTTGCCCAGTCAGCTGAGCTAAGACTGAGGCTAGGAGGAAGTAGAGGAGGAGTCACTGACGTCATGTTTGAGATTAGACACTGAATTCACGTAGAGTCATGAGTCTCTCTGAGATCTTCAGCTTTTAAAACAATCAACAGAGTGTGATTGACAAAGCTGAAATTTCATTAAAAGATTAAACTCCTGTTGGATAGGTTAATAATGCCATCACGCCATAGAAATGCCTGTGTTTAGTGTGCCTTACGCTGCTACCTTTTTGTACAGTGGCTGCATGGGACAGATTAAAAGCAAACTCTGCACAAATCATAACTTAAAGCATCATTTTACAACCCTAATGTTTGAATGTCGACGCTGTGGCACCGTTTTGTGTCACAAATCATTAGACAGAGTGGCCCACTGTTTCCCTAACTGTGAAAGTAATCGAAATATTAAAGAAGAGGTGGTTTACTATGAATTGTGGTAAAACGGAATATATTTAGGTAAGTTACAGGTCAGTATTTTATATATAAGATGTAATGAGTTTATAAATATGATATATTAGTTCAGGGTAAAGTAACCAACAGTGTATGAAGTTGTCAAAATTACCACCAGTAGAAAAATGCCACTCCTCATATACTTTTTCCCCTTATTGTTTGTCATATCTGTAGAGACTGTCCATATTAAACAGAGCCGAAGTTTGAAATAATGAGCTCATAGTCTGAAGCTCAGGCTTTGACGGGCTTGAAACGCAAGTTTAACAAAAGGATTTTTTCCACTCTCTTGCCTTGCTGATGTCAGCACTGCACCGATGTCCTGGCACAACCAGAGCCACAGCCCGACCTCCTGTAGGAGGCGGGGCTTTGAAGTCTTTTTGCAGAAACCAGCTGATGACCAACCAATCAGAAAAATGAAAGCAATTAAAACAGGTTCACACAGAATTTTTCATAATGATAATATGTTTCATAATCTTCTAAGAGATATTGTGAATTAATTTAGGACTAGGGCTGATCGATATAACGATATATATTGGATGACGATATAAAAACGTCTATCGTTCCATTTTACACTATCGTTTGTTTCGTGGTGTCGCAAAATAAACTGTTTACAGCAATATTTTTTCATCGTTTTGATGGTCACTGTAGTGGCAATATTAATTTCTTAAAGTTCTCTCTTTCTCTTATATTTAATATAACCACACTACTGTTTTTATGCGTTTTGGTTAGCAACAACGACGGTAATACCATCGCGTGTCCCCTTGTTTATGTTCCACATAAACCTTTCACAATAAAGCTCAAGATCCTGTTGAGACTTTTCAAAATAAACTGAACCAAGTGAAAGAGCAGATTATTTACGGATGAGAATTAAAAAAGAGCCGCCAGGTGCTAAAAAATAAACCTTAGATTCAAACGTTAGAACAGGCTTTTCCCCGCAGCACGCCGTGTAATAAATACTCACAAAGAAAACGGCGGCCTTTACAACTTATGTCTAAAAATGTATAGTTTCATGCAACTGTTAAAACACTTGACTCCAGCTACATGAGGCGCAGCTGGAAACACTTCCCGCAAGTCGAGCTGCCCGAGATTCACAGAATTTACAGAAAATGTTACATTTTTGTGATTAATATCGTTATCGGACGATAGAATTCTTATATCGGGATATGAGATTTTGGTCATATTGCACAGCCCTATTTAGGACTTAGAATCACTATGGGTTACAGTTAGTGCTTGCTGTTAAACTCTATATTCGGACATCACTGACAGCAGAAAGAAAGTCCCAATACCAGTGCAGCCAATCAAATCATCAACAGTTAGATAATAAGGTGTGACTACAGTGACAGCAGCGACTCCTCTAAGCTACTCCTCTGGATTACTGATGAGAAAGTAAAGCCTGTAGCAACTTTGAAAGTGAGGTTTTGGCACTTTATTGATTCCTCTTGGAAGTAGTGACTATCATTGTTGAAATGCTGCATCATGTTAAACGTCTTACATACAGTGATTCAAATATCTCTATTTTGCTTATAGGAATGGTTGTAACTGCTGAGGATGTTTACTCTGCACTCTCAAACATGTCATGTGATCGCTGTACTTGTGTGCTACTAGCCTTATATGCTGTTTTTCTCCCCCAATAGTGCTCTAATGGCTGCTGTATGCTCCTGGCTAAGTCTTGAGGCTATGACACATGGGCAACATTTAGACGTCAAAAGCATGAAATATATAGATAGTTACAGTGTTAAAGTCGAGTCACCAGACCCAAGTCGAGCCCCAGGTGTTCAGTATTATGGTGTTAAACATTAAAGTCAGAGTTACGTTTAAGTCACAAAAGGAACGACTACAGTATACACAGGGCACACAGGAGTAACAGTTTGAGTTCCAACTCAGTAAAAACAGGTCTGCAGTGTTATCATCACTCCAAACTTGTCCCATTTACTTTATTCAGGGCTTATAAGATTGAGTTAGCATGGCCATTGTCTGACTTTAAAAGAGTCACCTCAATACACGTATGACTAACATTTAAGTTCAAATTCATTCATAAAGGATCAAAATTAGAATTAGCAGAGGTTACAAGTCCACGGCCCGATTAATAAAACACTGACCCGCTATCAAACTGTGATGACACATCAGACGGAACTAAAACATGCTCACTGACTCATTGCTGTAGTTGCCCATCTTAATTTTCATCAAGATGCTGCCTGTTTTATCTCTTACTCTGACTTTTCTTGATGCATCAGTACTGTACATGGCTTCACTCAAACCCACACGGATTAATATGCACCATGTCTTAAGCAGTATTTATGGAGCGCTGAGGACACATGCAGAGATGGAGAACGATCATGAATACATTAAATGGTTGCCCACAGTGTGGATTATGTGGTTGTCGAGCACAAGATAGCTAGGGTGGAGACTACCGAAAGCGTGCACTACACAGAAGAAATCCAAATGGAGCTTTATCATTCTGTTTAATATCAGGCAAAGCACAAAATACAGGCAGGCTCTTTGTTGTTATATAGATGAGCATGTAGCTTTCAGCCCTGCGGTAAGCATCAGAATAACAAAACATACAGCTGGCGTTGCTTTCGGTTGACGAATGAGAAACCTTAATCTAGACAAATTTTGTTGCTTGAAGTGATCGTTTAACAAATTCTGCTTCTTCACATTTTTGATTTTATACGTTTTTGTTTTTAGGTTCTGATGGCAAGCGTGTGGATAGTTAACAGTGCCAGCACAAGTTCAGTTGTAGCAAAAAACAAATGAGCCCTTAGTTTGTATAAAGAGTTTGTTGATATGATTTTAAATCAATATGTAAACTTTTTTTTTGTTTTACTTTTCATTCATTATTTTGAAATATTTTATTTTTAATTTAAAAAAGTTTTTTTTCTATGTCTGTTTGTTTGCATTTACACAAACATATGGTTTCACATTTTTGGTTGTCAGTGTAATAAGTGTGACAAATAAAGTTTGAAGAAGATGGATACTGTGGTTTGTCACCTCCCAATTGTAAGTAACTGTATGATATCACAGTTCATCGGATTTAATGCTTAGCTTAAACTAGATTCTTCCTCTTTTCAGCAGATGCATTAAATTACATGAATAAAGCCCGACAAGCACCCTAACCACTAACAAAAAAAAAACATGATTTATAAGCTATTGTTGATTTCAGTAAAGACCCTGAAAAAGTTAACTTAGAGTCTGGGTGGTTGACTCGCATGCCATAATCGCTACACATGTTCCTGTATACTATGCCAGCTACTTGGTGACGGCGTTCCATGTATGCCTTGCATGCTAGCATCTTGCACCCTGCTGTTATGTACTAGAATCGTCTCAGTGACATTTTTACACTGCTTGTATTTGGGGTCTTGCCTTGTATGGTATTTAAACGTCTCTAACTGTCCTCTAGCCGCTACTTAAGATCAGAGTCTAAAAATGAATCATGAATACATACTTTGGTTAAAACAGTGTCTCAACACCTGCATTTCTGATAATTTTCATTTAAATCAGAGTAAATATCATATTCTGGGGAGTTTATTTTCAGATGCGGATTTGATAATCTAGTTATCCAGAAGCAGAGTGTGTGATCAAATCACAGACTACCATATTTGTTAGAAAATGTCAGCCAATGTGGCTTTGTGGCACAAGGAACAAGATATTTCAGGCCTGAGTGATTCTTAAATCACCGTCCACTGCACAGGGCTAATCGAATCTGTATAAGCTGTTCTGAGTTTTTTGTTTTTTCTCTTTATAGAGCAATTTTCAAATAAATAAATGGGTATTATTTTCAAATAATATTCATTAAATTATCCAAGCAGCAAAGAATAACAGCACACAACACACAACAGATTTTATAAATACAGGAAAACTCTCCAGCAATCAAAATATTATTACAGAAGAATTCGAGAAGTTTATTCTATATTGACCAAGCTTAACGATATCATATTTGGTCCAAGTAAAGTTATCAACAGTAAGTTATTAAATATAATCAGGCACGTCACAGACACCTAAACTTCTTCGCTCTACCTCCACACGGGTCCTTTAAGCTAACGCTAATGCTAGTTAGCTACGTACGCAGTCGGTTGATGAAACGGAGATGACACCGGTGGTTTATTTTTGCTGAGAATGAGCTCAAAACATGTCAGGTTTGTTTCATAATAAGTTATAGTTGGATTGTAATACAGGTGCCCACCTTTACAGACTCTGGTTTTTCTCGATAGCGGAAGCAAACGTTTGTTTTCCAAGCTAACTTAGCTGGTTAGCCTCAGGTGCATGTTGTTGTTAATGGAGTCCTCCGTTCATAGCTAGCGCTACACGGGGGCCTGTCCCATTACTTACAGGGTGTCTACACCAAGACTCAAATATTGTCTTTTTTGGTACAAACAAATAGGACTTTTTCCATTTTTTAATGGTTGTTTAAAAAGCAGCTTTTAGTTAACGAACGTTACCGCTCACTGCAATGTGTTTTCGCGGAACAGGTTAGCCGGATAAATCAATTTAATTACACTCTAATAAAAACAACTCGCTGCACGCACATTGTATCAAAAGCAAGAATATTTAGCCATGTTGTGGTCTACGCTTTTTCTCCCAGATTTGTCCTGCAACGTTAAATTGGTCCATTATTGTTTTTCAAATAGTCTGATTTGCCCTTTCCAGAGAAGTCTTACCTGGGGAGGATCACTGCATGAAAACTAAATTTCCTCTGTTAACCAGGTAGCAAAGCGTGAGAGCTGCCCTTGAATTCAACTAATGTTAATCAAAGCAGCAGGCATTTAAGCAGAGGGTTAACAGCAGCGACATTTATAACGTCGTAGGTATATTTTAAAGTTAGGTGGTCATGTGGCAGTCAGAGAGCGAGCAGCTGTCCCTGACAGTCAGCTAGTGGCAGCTGGTTTAGTTATTGAAAGAAAGCAGCCACTGTCGTGTTAAACGCAGCGCACGTTGATTTTTTCCCCCACATTAAATAAGTTAAATAAGTTTTGTTAATGTGCTTGGAGGCCTAAAGATAACCACGCAGGTACTTAACATTAGCCGAGCAGCTGATCTCGGTGTGTTAGGCCCTTTAAGGAAGTTGGCACACTAATAGTTGAGTAAATGTTTACTTTCGGGAGGCTTTAACAAGGGCTGGGTCACTGATTAGGATTTTGAGTGAGGCAAGTCTCACTCCTCACATTAGTGCTACACTTACCTGCCTGGTGTTTTGCACCCCAGTTTGCATGTTAGCTGTTTTGAATGCTATGTTTTTCTAATTTAACTTTAACTTGTGTCTTGGAGTGTTTGTGTACCCACGTTTAATATTTGCCAAACATGCAGGCATGTGAATATTACTAAAGAAGTGGTTCTAATAATATTACCATTCAAGAGTTGGCCTGAAGAGGAGGTGAGAAGGAAACTCAACTGTTGTCATGTTTTACGTAGGGAAAACACTTTATTTTTCTTCATATCTCCTGAATTATTTATTGACACAAAACAACAAATAGTTCCAAAACAGCATGTATAAAAAGTGTGAATTAAATAAAACTTTTTTTCTTTTTACATTTATTTGAAAATGAAAACAAAAGGTCCATCACAGTTATGCTGACATATAGAAAGATAATTTGTTTTATGTGGGCTTTGACATACTGAAACCTAAAATATGTTTTTCTTTATCAAGAAGCTGAAAATAACAGGAAACGTAAGATAAACAGACTCTGACTCTATGAAGCTAGATTGTCTCTTCACTCCCCAAAAGCCCGTTTTAAAATAGAGGAAGCTCAGATAGATATGTTTGCCCAGATTATGAGTCTTCTAACTTTTCTTTTTACCGTCCTGTGCAGGGATGATCTGATGGTAACATCTGGCTGCTTTGACATCTTTCTGCATCATCCCAGCTCTGTTGGATAGAGGAACGCTTCCACATCTGCGAAGAGCTGTTGTCATCCCCACTCTGAACCTATCAGAGACCCTTCATTCATAGATCTGAAACAGAAAACATCTTCTGCCTCCTTCCAAAAAGAGACAATGTATTGCCTTCAGTGGCTGCTCCCCGTGCTGCTCATCCCCAAGCCGCTGAACCCAGCTCTGTGGTTCAACCACTCCATGTTCATGGGGTTCTACCTGCTCAGCTTCCTGCTGGAGAGAAAGCCCTGCACCATCTGTGCCTTGGTCTTCCTGGCTGCCCTCTTTCTCATCTGCTACAGTTGCTGGGGCAACTGCTTCCTTTACCACTGCCAGGATGCTGCACTCCCGGATGCTGCCCACGACCCAGCCATTGTTGGGACCTAGGAGAAGAGGAGCAGCAGCACCAGGAAGTGGAGGTGGAGGGAGCAGGAGTATAAGGCAATGCTGAGAAATTATTGTAGAAAGATACTGCCATGCTTAGAGTGGTGAAAATTGCTGGAGGGGAATACCAAGAGTGTTCAGCCAAAGACAAACTAAAGAAGAAGAGCTGGTCTTGGAGGGTTATGAACGCTGTCTTTTCTTTTTTCTTTCTTAATGCTGTAAAGAAGAATTTGAGGAATGGGAAAGGGTGCCAGAGGTCACATTATGTGTCCTATTATCTAACAGGCAGCAAAGGCGAGGGATCCAAACTTGAAATGAAAAGGGAAGGACATGCATGAACTTGACTTGATGCTGAGGGAAAAATAATTTCACATTGACCAACTTTCATTCCAGCACATGAATGAAAAATAAAAAAAGTATACAGTATAAACTACATGTGACATTAACTTAAAGTCACAGGGGTGGGTGCTTTGCATTATGCTAACTTGTCTGTTCCTTGTGTCTTAGCTACTGACAAACGGAGGATGGGAGAGAAAGCTGCTCAAAACCTCTGACTGAGGTTTTTATAGTGGGATGGAAAATCCTCCATGATGGCAGAGGAGGAAAGATTTCTGGGTGAAGGGAAGTGAGAGGATGCAAGGAAACGTATATTAGCATAATGAAAATCCCTCTCCAGTTCAGTGTTCCAATTTAAGAGATTTCACTTTCTCCCCAAACCCGATTGCTCATCTTTTTAAACTGAAAATACTTTGCTCCTTAAAACTGCCAAAATCACTTAACCCCTCTGAAAACTGCTATGGCTCAACAAACTTTATACACCAGGTAGTGTTAAACTGTAGTCAAAAACAAGAGCGTCACACCTCTGACAGCCCTGGATGGCCAAACTGTCGCCACTTTGGCTCTGCACACGTAATGCTCCACAAGGCGAGGACACAGACACTGGACAATCAGTAACTACGCTGTGAATATGTCCCCCCTTTGCCGCACTTCTACTCAAACACACCTCAAACAGGTGAACTAGAGCTGAGGACCTACGATGTTATTACCCGCTGTGCTCTACAGCTGCTCCTCATCGTCCTGCCTCAGTGTGAACCTTCCCTACTGCCATCTGATCTTTTTTGTTTCTGTTCTTTTTATTTTGCAGTTTGCATGAGTTGCTCTAAGTTTTTTTGTTTTTTTTCCCCAAGCGTCAAGGTGACACCCAAATTTTTAACAAGTTAAAAACGCTGAAAGTTTCCAAAGGGTAAAAAAATCTGGATGTGTAGTTGAATGAAAGTTTCCTGTAATGTGCTATGGCTGTGCATTCTTTGTGGTCATGACATGCTGATCAGTGTAAAAATGTGGCAATACACAAGGAGACACAACGGCTATGGTCAGCATTTCCAGCAACAATGAGCAATACAGAGTGCAGGCTGAAGAACTGGTTTAAAAATTTCACAGGGGATTGGAGTTTCCACAGGTGTCACTGCTGTAAGTGTTAAGTTTAGCTGTCAGACACAGGCTAAAGTGTTTATACTCTGTACCTGTTGGAGTGTGTGTGTGTGTGTGTGTGCGCGTGTGTGTGTGGCCTCCTGTGGCAGTGCGCATTGCATTCACTGCAACATATTTGCTTTGGTTTTAATTTAAATAAAGTTTTCCCTCTTATGTGTTAAACTGTGAGGTTCTGTGTCAAACAAAAAAACGTATTTTGATTAAAAAATAAATGCAAGTAAGAGTTGTGCTTTGCATTTTGCTGTTTTTGTTTTGTTTGTTTGTTTCTGTAGGAAAATTGTGTTGCAAATTGTTTTTGCATATTTGTCACATTATTAAATGTAAGTATTAGACAAAGATGACACATTAAATCTAAAGTGCAGTTTTAAAATGATTCCATGTGTCAAGAGAAAAAAAGTGATCCAGACCTATCTGTAGTTGTAACGCTTTCCAAGATTCCAGGGACGAATCCGATATCTCTGTCCAGGAGAGTGCAGTCTTAGGACAGCTAAAATGCTGCGCAGGGTCCTCAGACTGCCGAGCTCGAGGAACACACATGCTCCAACTCACACCGACTGAGCAGGCTACCGGTTCAGTTGCTCAGTGCAATTATTGAATCAACCAATCACACGGCAGCAAGTCAGTGCATTTAGGCATGCAGACATGCTGAAGATGAACTCCTAAGAAACTCAGCACCAGAATGGTGAAGTAATTCAGAGTTGGTGATAGGATGAGCTACATGTTGGTGATATACTGGTGTTTCCCCACTCAACCATCTTTACAGTTTTCAGAGAATGGTGCAGAGAGGCCAAAATATTTAGTCCAATCCACATCATCGATGTTGGAGAATGACCAGACCGCTTTGAGCTGAAAGGGAGGCAACAGTAACTCATGTAACCACTCTTTACAATCAAGGTATGCAGAAGAGCATCTCTACAGCAGCAGAAGACCACACCAGGTGTTAGCTATTAACAGGACCCTGAATTCACAGGGATTCATCAGAAATGGACAGAAGATTGGAAAAATGTTGCCTGTTGCAACAGGCTGCGACATTTGGATAGTAGGATCAGAATTAATAACACAAGGGTGTGGATCTATCCTACCTTGTATCAGTAGCTCAGATTGGTAGAAGCGGAGTGATGGAATCAGGCATAATTAGTACAATTTGGCCTCTTAGTATCAACTGATCATTGATTAAACATCACAGCTTACCTGGGCGTTGTTGCTCACCATCTTCTCATGGTTGCTTCCTGCAGGAAGACCGTATTATGCTAATTGATTTTGGTCGTGATGCACCCTGCAAATAGCCTGTTTACTAAAAACACGTGTGACCAGTGGAAGCATGGTTTCATGTTATATGGAGCACTGTTGTACACGGTTCAAACAGGTTGACTAATGATGGGAAACTAGAACTGGAAGTGGTTTTCATATGATGATAATGATGCAACTGAACTGCAAGCAAAGCAAAGGATGTGCTCCTATCCCCCAAAGCAATTAGCATCAGCTTTCACCTCCTTTTCTGTTTTCCTGCTTCTGAAAGAGCTCAGAAAGTATCGCCTGTTTACAAATCAAACACTGATGCACAATGAATTCATAATTCTTCAAAGAAACTGGAGCTCCTGTATTTTTTTCAACATTTGTGATTTAAAAATGTGAGCGTTTCTCCATTGTATGCCACAAACTGGGTTTCTTTAAAAACACAATTGATTCTTGAAGATGAAAAGACATCTTCAAAGAAATCTTTTTTTTTATTACATAAAAAAATATTGTTTGTCATGTTTCCCAGGCCAGAGTGCAGCCTTTAAATTTACAACAGCAGAGCAAGTCCAAGTTAAAGTCAGACAACGTAAGTATCTTTCACAATCAGACCTACAGACCTCTGTGTTCATAAATCAGACTAAATACATGACCTACTGTCCATGATTGTACACATCAAAACTAACCAACCATTCCTTATTTGTTTTTAAATCATCTGTGGAGATGATGTAATTATTACTATTGCAGTTTTATTTTATTTGAACATATCTGCCATGCTGTATTTCTTCTAATTCTAGAAATGAACTTAAATTGTCACTTTTTAACTTTTTTATTGTAGAGGTTAATTTATATTATTTATATTTAATTTTTCATTTAGTGTTTGAAAAAGAGGGCGGGCCATTTAAAAAAAAAAAAAATTCATATATTTCTCAGCACAGGAGGATGCTCATCCTTTGTTTCCACTTGTGTAAATATGGCACCAGAAAGTCTTAAATACATCTCAGTAACCCTTTATACACAGATGCAGTGCTGCTCTTCTTTTATGCTTGCTCCTGTTTCCTGTTTGTTCTCACCTGTCTCTGTCTTTTTCTTCCTCTCTGTGGGTACAGTCCACCAGATTAATCAACCTGCACACCTGAGCCTTATCCTTCCCAGCTCCTCCACTGGCTGTGATATAATTTAGTCACTCATGTCGTGACGATGCTTCGACCACCTTTCAGTCTTGTGGTTTTCCTGTGCTTTGAGTTTGAAGTAACTCATCTCTCCCTGTGCTTCAGGTTTTCCTGCTCAGCTGTGGTTAAATATTAATCTCAGATGCCCACACCAAGTTTTTGAACTGAATCTGTTTTTCCTGCTCCGCTGCCATCTCCAGATCGGCAAGTCTCCTCAGTTCATTCTTTAAGTGCAATAAATCTGACTCAAAATAAACTGAAATTCAGTTTCCATGTCCTGCTGTTAGTTCTGGGTACACAGTTCAAAGAAATTACCAAAGTCTGACACACAGATGGAAAAAATGAGATGATTTTCACGGCTGGAATCACCAATTTTAGGAACAAATAATTGCAAGTCTTAATTTTTATGCAGAGCAGCAAGTTTTCACTTTGTCTTGTGTGACATTTTGACCAGCACTATGTCTGCTCTTTCACTTTTGTGTTTATTCAACTTACTAAATTTTTTTTTCTTTTTTTTTTACAAATCTGCCATTCAAGGGATTGTTTGATATGACCATGGCTAAATTAACCTTTTCAGGCATCTGGGGGAAAAATTATGGTTGCTAACAGATAAATTGAGATGATTTTAGCACATGTCATAAATGTCAGCATGTTGCCTTGTTTGTTCACCTAGTGTAAGCACATTTATTCCTTCTGACCTTACTTCCTTTGCCCTCCTGCTTGTTTCCAAAGCTTTCTCAGCACATTGATTTTTCTCATTCTCAACCTTTTAAAAAGCAGCTTTGAAAACATTATGATTTCAAAGATTCAGCACCTGGAAAACTACCAAAGACCAGCAAATAACTGGTGTTCAGTCAGAGTTTTGCAAAAGAGGGGGCGAGGGTATGTTATCTGTGTACAAAGATGACTTTGAAATCTTTTCCTCTTGATTGTGTAAACTCTCCTGAAGTGCAAATCATGCACCATCTGGTTGTGTGGGAGGGGGCTAAAACAAAACACACAGAATTCAAACATGGTTAAAGCGCAGCTCTGCTTCTTACTGAAAACAGTTTTTAAGATTTTGTAGGATTTTTCTTTGTTTTAGGAAGCTAAACGATTCTGCATCCTATTATCAACAAAACAACAGAAACAAACACTGTGTTCAATCCATGAAGCAGATTCTTCAAACATGATTCCTTAAAATTGATGCAGAGTTCTCATGGACGCAATAAGGCTGAAGAAAAATGTCATTTTATGCCACAACTTAAACTGCTTTGCTGTCAGCAGCATCTTTCTTCCCACGGCCTCGCAAACAGTCTGGTCAGTGAGGTCCTAGGTCACTCTAACCACAGCCAAATCTATTCTGTGGCAGGCAAACGTCTCCTCGGGTCCCTCTCCAGCTCAGTATATGTGAACAGCCAGCAGAGGTCAGCAGCGGTCTCCGTTTCTGTGATGGCACAAAGGCAGCAGGCCAAACATTTTCCTTCACCAACGTGAACAATTTTGTCTAAACATCCATTTTGTCAAAGAAGAATTGGATAAAAGAGAATTTGGTATCATTTAAAACATTTGTATTTGTAGTATGAAAAAAAAAAACCCAAACAAACATCCTTCCTTGTTGGGATTTTGATAGAAAAGTCATGCTTCTCCTGTGAAAATGAAAAGGTCCACAGTCTATCCTGTGGACCTTTGCATGTGAAAATATATAAAAAAGAAATTATTCTGAATATAAAACCTGGAAGATTGCATTTGTTTTCAGATATATTTGATTTTTTTTTCTCAATTAAGCCTTAAAAAGGATTAGAAAAATGAGTAGTGTGACATAACTTGATTTGTAGACTCCTCTTGTTTAAAATTAATTCAAGACTCAGCGCTCACAGGCAGGAGAGGCTGTTAATGTGGATTTCATTAATCTGCCAGGGTTTAATATTCATGTGATGTTTTTTGTTTTAATGTAGCTGATTATTGCTCTAAACACACACACACTCACACACACTCACACACACACATACACGCTTGCAAGATTATGGAAAATAATATTATATTTATCCTTCATGTCCCAATAAGACAGTCATATCGACTGGTTGGTGAAATAACTCCCAGCACTAGAAAAAAGTCAGACTACAGCTGACGTCTTCTTTAAGAAGATATATCTAACAAAAATAAATTCAAATTCTGAGTAAAACAATACAGGAGAAATAAGAAGTCATTAATCAACATCAGTGAGTGAATGATCCATCCAGGGAAAGCTGAAGTCTCCATCATGAGATCTTCCTCTGCAGTTGTTTCTCTGGTAGCACACGCACCACAGATTCTTAAAAGAAAATTAAGTTTTCCCAGAAGGTGCGACGTCCTGACAGGTTTGTAAACTTTCTCCATTTTGACATAGGCTTTGTTTTAGTCTCTTGGCCACCATCATTACAACATTTGTGCCTATTCTTTGATCCAGATCTGTTTCCTATAAAATCGTAATCTCAGTCTCTTGGTTCTGGTAAGCCTCATCCTGCATCTCAGTGTCTAGCTGGTCCATCCTCTGGTAGGCCTGGTATCCCTTTTTACCTGCAGACAGATTGAAAGAAAAAGTAATAAAAGAAATAAAAATACAATATAGGTATATAAAAAAATAACCCTATGATGAAAAGGGATAACGCTTGTACCAAAGGAGAGGACAGTTTCTCTGGCAGCACTACGCAGATCTTCATCTGTTGATCTCCATAAATCTGCTATGTGGCCCACACTCTCTGTCGCCTGACAGAAGAACACAAAACAAAAACAAACAAACAAACAAACACTTATGCTAGCTGATAAAAACCAGAGAGTTCTGAAAACAGGACTTCCTAGTGTTGCTG